GGAGCTTCTGAATGCATGATTTCAAGATATTTTGTGAGTGCTTCTTATTGATCGAGAAGAGTCTAAACTTACGACGAAGAGAATTCGATATTTGCCGGCCGTTAGAATTACTCCCCGAACGTTCTTGAACTTAAAAGAAAAAGCCTGATCTAAACGGCCAAACGTTAACTACAACAGTCATGGATTTTGACGACGATGCCCCGCCAGAGTTGGTTGATACAACCATCAACGATGTGGATGAGGAGATTACAGTCAAGGTTCCCATCACAATTGTGACAGGTATTACTACCAGCCACTATTTGCTTCATTCGCTAATAGCTGATAGGATATCTCGGTGCTGGTAAAACCACTTTGCTAAATTACATCCTTACGGCTCAACATGGCAAAAAGATCGCTGTTATCATGAATGGTTAGGACGGACCACGATTTGTTGAAAACAACCACTAACATGATCTAGAATTTGGAGACTGTAAGTGCTCGGTTGTGAGATTGTCGTTACGTTTCTAAGTCGTACTGCAGCGCTTGACATCGAAAAGTCCCTTACTGTGAACAAGGGTGGTGAGCAAGTTGAAGAATGGCTAGAAGTTGGCAATGGCTGTATCTGCTGTTCCGTGAAGTACGTCTTGGATGTACGGCAGCCACCCACTACAGTGCTAACATAATTCAGGGATACAGGAGTCAATGCGATAGAGTCTCTCATGTCAAAGAAAGGTGCATTTGACTACATCCTCCTCGAAACCACTGGCTTAGCCGACCCCGGAAACCTAGCCCCCCTCTTCTGGGTGGACGACGGACTCGGAAGCACAATTTATTTGGATGGAATAGTCACGCTCGTAGATGCGAAGAATATCTTGCGCAGTCTTGACGACCCCAATGGTGTTGTCGAAGGACACGACGACCACGGTCATGGCCCTGTCATGACTACAGCACATGTTCAGATCTCCCATGCTGATGTGATCGTAATCAACAAAGCCGACATGGTTACAGAGACGGAACTCAACCGGGTCAAAGCAAGAATCCAGTCAATCAACGGTCTTGCTAAGATCCATGTAACGGAGAGGAGTGTAGTCCCTCAATTGGAGGGGTTCCTGCTTGATTTGCACGCATATGACCAATTCAATGAGTCAGACGCAAATGCTAAGGGACATAGTCACCTCGACCCTGTAAGTTCCCGCCTGATATATGATGTTTGTAAGAGGTTATGTAGCTAACCGGTCAGACCATATCGACCGTCACCATACCCGTTGGTCGCCTTGAGCCAGGACAACTGAACACAGTTGATCGTTGGCTACGATCGGTACTGTGGGACAGCAAACTTCCTGAAGAAGAAAAGGAGGGTGATTTTGAGATTCATCGGTCCAAGGGACGGCTTGTGTTTGCCAATGGAGAGGTCAAGATGTTGCAGGGGGTGAGGGAGGTCTTTGAGATAAATGACGGGCCGTTGGGAGACGAGACGCCCAAGGAGGGGAAGATTATTCTGATTGGAAGGAACGTAGCAGGTGTTGGATTTGAAGACAGTTTCAAGAAAGCCCTGAGCTAGCCTTTATTACGTAGAGTCAAGAATAGAATAGAGGTGCATGATAACTCTAGGATGTCTGAGGTGTTTCATTAGTGGTGGCTGGTTACTGAAGGAGTTGAGCTCTGCTGGAAGGTTAATGAATGGGAATTGACTTCCGTAACTTCTCGCCTATACTAACTACCGTTGTTACTCAATATGGCACGGTGTCTAAGAGGTTGCTGTTTATAGGCTGGTGTTATTTGTAGGCGTTGTTTGTTGGTGATGTTTGCCATGATGTTGAAGCGTCCCCACTTATTCCCGCCCGGATCATCGTCCATTCCACCTCATTCCAATGTCCAGCCTTCTCTCTCAGTGAGTGAGCCCTTCTCCAACCAGTAGCAAACCTAAAGCCCCAGGCGAATAAGGCCAGCTCTGAAAGCAAACGATCGCATCTACAAACAACATCCCTACCATTTTGTCAACCTCCGCACAAAAACGCATCGACGTCGCACCGAACGAACCCTCTTGCTACGACACTTCGAATTAACAACATTGTATTCCAGCAGCACCTCCACTTTGTTGATCGCGACAAACCTCTACAGTCAATCATGAATAGGCCAGGTAGGACGCACCCCCCACGACGTTATTCCTTCGCAGCCCAGACCCCGCGCTGCCAGCGAAATCTGCAAAAACCTTCGTCATCCTTCGTATTTTTTTTCGGCATATCATCACGCGAGAGAGAGCTGTGCGCCAGCACTTACGCTCACGAGCCTTGTGAAACTCCCTTGTCGGCTTTCAACCCCCTCCGCGACCCTCATTGACCCTGTTCGGATGTCGCCACGATCGCTTCAATGGATCTAAACGCGGATCAGGATCAGGCTGGGGGCATGTCGGAGAGATTGCTACGAGCAGGAGGCTGGATGGTCAAGAATCAAGCAAGCACGCGAGCATTGGCAGGATAACGCTGACGATGTCATCGAATCGTAGGGGCAGTGCCACAGACACTCCGCGGGATGCCTGGTGGCTTTGGAGGTCAACAGCAACCCCAACAACCAGGACGAGCAGGAACGAATCGATTACCGAACGGAAAACTAGGTATGCGCTTCAGAAGTGATTGCGATCTCCGCGCTGTTGCTTTGGCTGGGTTGCATCGAAGACGGCCTTAGGCTAATACCGGGGGACAAATATAGGGAACAACAACTCTGGCTGGGCGTTTGGAGGGGTTCCCATGGCGGGAACAGGTCCCCAAAACGCAGCTCGTCAACTTGGCGGAAACGTGAGCTTCGCACAAAGCTTGTCGGGCTCTCAACCTGCAACATCACTCGACCTATCGTACGTATATGGCTGCGGCACACATAATCGGAGCTTCAATACCTGTCCGGTATTGAATTATTCGAACCGAAGCTAGTCACAATGACGCGCTTGCTAATGCAGACTAGCGAATTCCCATCATTATCGAACAACGCCCAGATGTCGAACCCCAGCCAGTCCTCTATGTGGTCGACAGCGGGATCGCGAAACCTGGGTGGTCCCAGTCCGCGCAACCAAGCTACCCCTCAGCAAGGTGGCCAGGATGATATGTTCAGTCCCACCTCTTCCAGAGGGCAAGGCGGGTTCAGATTCGGTAACCAAGGCAACATTGGACAACAGACTCAATCAAGCAGCGTTGACGACTTTCCACCATTGAATCAGACCTCGAATGGCGAGATGGGATCAGATCGGACGGCGAGCTTGATGTCATCATTGGGCTTCAGCTCTCAGGCCACCGGCGCTGGACCCTCGGCAAGCATTAGGGGGAATGGTCTTCTGAACGCTTTGTCGGCTACGAGCCGAGCGAACGAAGCCAGGTCGCCGCCTGGCATTGGAGCCCCTGGTCGGTTTTCGTCATTCTTGCCCGCGATTCCAAATGCTTACTTTATCAGGCTCTTCAAGACCGCAAGACGGCAAACCTCCTGGCCTGGAAGAGCCCCGGCAAAAGTCTTCCAAGGAGGATGCGTTGCCAGACGATGCTTCTAATGTAGCGGATTATAACAATGCGGACTATAGCGCCACGAATTATGTGGCACAAACCATGCAAAAGCGACTCGATACTGAGAACGTCATTGACCCTCTAGAGGGTATGCCAGCATCCGACAAGTGGGGTCTCAAGGGCTTGACAACGTTGATGAACAACTATCCTGACTACCACGCGATGGTTGTGGGAATGGACCCTAACTCGCTAGGTCTTGACATCAATTCTCAAGAGTTTGTTTTCTCTAAACTAGCGACGGGGGGGCTTACTAACAGGCTTCTCAGGTTGTTTTCGACTCAGATTTACTCGCTGTTTGATGACGCACCTCCTCGGCCAGTCCTCTCTAATGGAAGATTTCGACTGCCGGATTGTTATAACGTGACGAATGTGCAACCCATTGAGAGCAAAATTCAGAGTTTCAACGAAGAGACTCTATTTTGGATCTTTTACAGCTGTACGGCAGATGTAAAGCAACAAATGGCTGCAGTTGAGCTGTAGGCGATATTCTGTTTGTGCACTGTATTGAAAACCACTGACTTGTTGACAGACATTCTCGAAACTGGAGGTGGCACAAGAAACACCAGATCTGGTTGACCAAAGACGAGCACATGACTCCTCAAATACTGAGTCCTACCCACGAGCGAGGCTATTACGTCGTCTGGGACACAAACTCCTGGCGCAAAGAGCGTGTATGTGCATCTCGGAGGGGTCTAGACGATAGCATCTAACAAGCGCACAGAGAGAACTCACTCTATACTATGGCGAGCTAGATACAACACTAGGTCAGGCACAGGTTGTGCCTTGATAGGAGGAGCACTGAGCACTACGATTGGAGAGAATTTCCTTTGGAACAGGTGTGCATGGGTGACTGATACGTGAGAAACGTATAAAGGGGCGTTACGGCATCAAGACAGGGCAACTGTTTCTCGTGGGGATGGGATCGGACCTGGGTTATGAATGAACGCTCTTCCATCACTGAGGGCTGGCTTATCGCCTGGATATGGGACTGTCGTGTCAATAAATGATGCTTTTCAGTTCTGCGCAATCACTGTTTGCCTTGAATGTTGTGACGTATATGAGAATTCACTGTGGCCGCAATGGACGACAGGCCAGGGTTTGACTTCAATGATTCTACCCAATCATCAATTATCAGGAATCGACATTTGAAAGTGCCCCAACCTAGGCAGCATCTTATTTGGTTCTGATATCAATCATGTCAAGTTTGGTCATTAACATGATTAGCCGAGGATTCCCCACATGCAATTTGACGTAGCGCCCCCGTCTTTCGGGGTGGGCTCGCTGCCGTAAGAGCAACGCTTATTACATGCCACCGACCCACGACCCAAGCTCTCTCTAGCTCGTGCGACTACAACTGTACATACTTATCGTCATCTCGGCATCTTTCTTGGACGGCCACCGATTCTCGGTCGAACCTTTGTAGCCTCCTATAATTCCTCCAAACGTCCGCCTCTTCCTTGCGACTCATACATCATGGCGGACGACCAAATCTCATTGCCATATCTACTGGCCATCCTGGTCGTCTCGGGCTTGATAATACGATATCTGTTCTTTGGAGGACCGTCGCCACCTCAGCCCACACGATCCCCTGAAGCTTTCCTCCGGTCAAGAGAGATTGCAGTTGAGAGAATACAGCAAATGTTTCCGCAGGCGGATCGACGGAGTATTCTATGGGATCTGCAGCGCAACGGAGGAAACATCCAGAGCACGACAGAGCGAATACTAGCAGGACGACTGGACACGGTATGCTGAACCTGTGCTATTGCCCTTTCAGGTCTCTCGCTGACAAGTATCACCACTAGCCCCCCGTGACTTTCCAACCACCGCCTCCTCCGGGCCAATCCGCACCGAGCAGCAGCGCAGCGACGGCGTCTCGACAGCCGGATAAGCCAGCGCAGCCGGATCTTATCACCCGGTATAACCTCAAGGACAAGTTGGATACTGCGTCGCAGGAGGAGCAGGATGCCAAGGGCAAGGGATGGAGCTCGAACAGGGACGAGAGGCAAGCTTCGCTGCAGAGGAGGAGGGATGAGATGATTCTTGCGGCACGGAGGAAGATGGAGGCTAAGCTTGCGGCTGAGAAGGCAGTTCAGGGGAGTTGATAGGATAGAAAGACGGATGATATAACTTAGTAGATAACAGGGTGGCCAAGCATTGTTTAGTTATGACGGTGGTGTTATGTCGGTGCCCTTTTGACGGAGACAAGTGTCTGGTTTTCTTCCACGATACTCATATTTAGACAAACATGTACTTGTAACGATACTTGGTTAATCATTTAACCAACCTCAAGAACCTAAAGTGCTTGTATAGCGTGTTGTCAGATCTGCATAGACGCTTGTTGGCATGTAAGCCAACCCTGCTCTACTGCATATCGATTATCTTCTGTTGATCACATGCGCAAACAATTCAAGCAGTTTTTCCATCTTGCTAACAGAGACTTAAAATACCGTTATGGCGAGATATCTGCCACAAGTCTAATAACATATATCTAGGACTCACAATATTTCACTCAAACTTCTTGTTTCTCAGACTTATTCTGAGATTTACGCCTAACAGCCAAGTCTCATGTGAAGCTGATACATAGCAGTCAGAGATGTGGCAGTGCTTGCGTGGCTCTGTGGCGATGGTCTCGGGAGATTGTCAGGAAATGAATATCTAGCAACTAGCGCAGTGCTAGGAGTGCCAGAAGGCCTCCAGGTACAATCAAAGCGAAAATGAGGATTGGTCTGTGTTCCTGTGCATGACTGAGGTAACCAAAAGGTTTAGAGGTCCAGTTGAAGCTATCTTAGCATAGACATCTCAAGATTGATTACCAGGAATGGCATAAACTCAATATCTTACAGATTAGACAGAGAGACCATCTGATAGAACACCTACTCTCACAGAGATAGTGATATAAATCATATGCCCCAACTACCTCGGATGATAGGTAGCTCATTGTTGGAGTTGCAGACAATAGCAACTGGAGTCTTGTAGTGGGGTTCTGGGGATTTGGTTGCTGGTACAAATATAAGACCCCGCCACATGTTTGTTTTCTTCTACATATGCGCGGGCAACCGAATGAGGTACTCTGACAGGAATCTGCTTCAGCTACGCCAACAGGTTCCAAGTTCAGGAACAGTATTAATTACCGCATTCCAAGATCACTTCTTAGTAAAGTCACCTAGAAAGAGGCGTTACGAAACATCTGCCGCGAAATTCAGGGTCCAAACGTCTATCAAAAGGCGAACCCTGTAGCTGAGCCACAGCCATTCAACGCGGCCTCGTGAACTAGGGTCCTGGTAGTTCAAGTGTACCACCCTTCGACTTCACCCATTCATTCACCTGAGCTCCGCCTAGATCCAAAAAAGGTACAGTACCTATTCTCCGATCACCAGCAGCTTCAGATCTCCCTCCCTCTTTCTTTTTGGCTCTTTCATCGCATCTCCCCCTTCATTCACTGACCTTTCCATCCCCTCTTTAGACTAAACGTAGTCTCATCTTTGGTCATACAGATTCGCTCCTTGATCAACAGCCTCACGCTGAATATTTGACGTCATCTTGGTAATTCTCCCTTTTCCTTGGATCAGCAACATGCCAATCAGTACCACCAATCCGCTTCTGTTGCTGCGCATGTCAAGAGGCACAGTTAGCTGAGGTAGCCACCCGACACTGGGTCCGTCCTTGCGACACTCCATGGCTGATCAGATATATCCTCTGTGCCCTACGCTCTCTGGTCGTCCCCACGACCCCTTGCTCAACCTCGTTGATTTGATCTTGACTTTCTAGTGAATATACGTGCTAATATTAAACCCTCAAGGTACGACTTCATACTCGTGCACCTCGATCGAGAACGTACCCTGGCATTTGAGTACAGTACCCCATTGTGCAACAGTGACCAATTCGAACACCAACGACAAGTCTCTCGCAGACCTGAAACGCCGCTCGATACAGACGACACTGAGGACGGCCTTGATGCATTTCCACAAACTATCCGATTGTTGATACCCGAACTCTTCAAGACTACAAGTACATATCCTGAGGTTGCGTGAATCTAATTGCCAGTGGACCGGGGCCCTTTCATCGCGATGGGTACACCCCGAGACTACTATGCAGACTTAGAGCTGCCACCGACGGCAGACGCCGCGGAGATTCGAAAACAATATCGGAAACTTGGTACAGACCAACGAAGCTCTTGCCCTTCATACAGCTGCTGACACGAGTTGTAGCTCTCAAATATCATCCAGATCGCAATCCTGGACGAGAGGCAGAAGTGAACACACAGTTCCAGATTATCCAAACAGCGCACGAAATTCTTTCCGACCCTGAACAGAAAGCCAAGCACGATGCTTCGCGAGGGCGCGGTAGATTCCCAGGAGCTTCGGGTGTTAAGGGTAACCCTTGGTCAAACGTCAGCGCCCAGTATCCGCCCCCTCCTCGGCGCAACAATGCAAATCCTCGAGCTCCGCCATCGGGCGCACAAAGATGGCAACGTTTCTCTACGGGGGTTCCTCCCACCGCAAAGCAGTATACAGCATCAGATGCCGAATCGAAGAAGAATGCTGCCAGAGCATTCGAAAACATGCGAAAGGGTGCATCGGCCAAAGCGAACGATCAGCCACGACCTCCCCCTCCACCTCCACCACCACGGACTGAATTTGCCAGACAACGTCAAGAGGCCTCGTTTGGTGCAAGAAAAACAGGCTTCCATCCTCGGACAGCAGGGGGCGATGAACCACCTGTATCAAGTAGCAACTACAGCTCGAGACCTGCTTCAGAACGATATGCGCAGCGGTTTGGCTTTGACATTCCACAACAAGCACCTCCTCCTACTCCCCAACGGCCGCCTCCAACTGCGATGCCTGATCCGTTAAGCCAATTCAGAGACCGAGACAGTACAGCCGACCCCCGACAAAGCACTCCTTATGCGTCATCAAACGGAGGCGAAAAGACCAACCCTTTTGACGGCATCTCGATCAACCGGGCTAAGAGTACTCGGGAAGCAACTCGCCAAGATCAATCTGCCTCTGAGAATGAAGCCATCAACCGACAACGCAGCGCCAGTGCACCGAAGGGTGGAAAGGCTGAGGACGTTCCTTTGAATAAGGCCTCTGAACAACCTTCGATACCTCGGGACCCGGCAGACCGTCCTAAGGCGCCGTTGAAGAAAACTCGCAGTGGCTTCAAGAGTGTTCCGCTGGGACCTAACCAGCAGGCCACCGAGTTTCCCGCAAATGATAAGCGTCAGTGAAAGTCGTCTTTTCAAACATCTTATTACTGACTATGAGACAGCAACTGATTCACCTGGTGGCCCAACAATGTATGCCAATCCATTTTCTACAATATCCAGCCGCCCAATCCCGAAGAGCTCCAACAAGTGTCGTGGTCACCACGGGTATGATTCCTTGGGGAATCATTGCCCATATGAAATCCCCATCAAGCCTACTCAGTCGTCGCCTAGTGGTAGACATGATTTAACTCACCATTTGACCACGTTTGAGCGCCAGCAACAGGAGCTCTTACGGCAACTCATCAACAACGCGAGTCCTGATAGCCCTGCTAAGAAGCCGAAGCTACAATACAGCGACTTTAAAAACCTCAGCATGCCGAATCGTGCTAACAAAGTTTACTCGAACAGCTTTAGTTTCCCTGTCAACGATGACACTTTCTCACGAACATCACCTGACCACCATCGGTTCTCTCGACGAAGTACTGACGATATCAACACTAGTTTTGCTGACGAAGAAGATGCTGCTGGGTGGGCGTTCAATGCTGGTGGAGCTGAACAGGATAGCCCAAGTAGGCCCCGAAAACCAGGTCGCCAATCCCCAGGGAAGCGGCCCGCAATGAGCGGCAAGAGTACACCAAGTTTCATGTCCGATGCTGAGAGATCCGACTCTGCTAAGCCCGAGTCGGCCTTTAACCCTGCAGGTTGGGATTTTGGTCCCCAAACATTTGTTCCTCAGCCGTCAAAGTCTGTATCTCCCACGCGGTCTACCCGAACAAACTCACGAAAGCCGAAGGCGTCCAAAAAGTCAAGCCATGCCAATCTTCTGGACGACAGCAGCAGTGAAGATGAGGTATTGGAATGGCGTGGTCGAAAGGTGCAAGAAGAACCACCTGCTGCTGAGAGTCCCCAGGCTATGGACATAGATACTCCCCCTGCGCCGTCTTCCATGCCGCCACCTCGACCTCCCAAGGTACCTTCGCCCCAACCAGTTCAGACTACGCCCTCACCACAGCCTGCTCAGCCTGTGAGCCAACCTCAGCAACCCGTTGGAGCAAACCAGGCTCCTGGAGTAGTACCTGCTCCGCATGCTGCCCGGAACATCAACGTCGAACCCACCAGACCCGAGTGGCGACCTGGCAATGTTGACACTGTCAATGGTAACGAGCACAGACCTGAGAGTCCCAGAAAGGCATTCAATCCAAACAACATGGGATCTGAAGACAGTGAAGAGTTCCAAGCAAGCTTCGCTGACCTCAGAAACGTGGCGCCATTCACTCAACAGAGCTCCGGCTTGAAGTCTTTTTCTGACCTGAAGGATAATTTGCCATTTGAAAGCAAAGCAGCGCCTCAGGTTCCAATGAAGCTACCCAAGGTCCACCCATTGATCTTTCCGACAGCACCTACAGCTCCTCAAATCCCAGCTGCCGCTGCTGTTAACGGCGTCAAGCCTAGCGCGCTTACTTGGGAGACATATGTCAAAGATTTTGAACAATACTTGAAGCAATGGGACGCGTTCAACGCCCAAGTCGTGGACCATTTTGCCACCCGAAAGTCGCACATCACTCGTACCCGAGAAGAAAAGGGGTATTCATTCTTGGAGAACCGGGGTGATGCTGACATTCAGGAGTATTACAACTGGCTCGAACAGGATATGGATGTTCGCCGACGCTGGGCGGCTGCATGCGAGGAGCATGAACACCGATTCCGAGAATTCATGGCGTTCCGAATGAAGATGAAGTGATTGATTGATTTTGTTTTGCGGAGTTGACAGTTTATGGATTGGGTCGAATTTCGTCTTAATGTCTTTTCATCGTCAACATGGGATACCAAGAAGACCAACTGCTACCTACTTAGCTGTTGACCACTGGAGAGGATACCACATATAGCAACGCGATACAGAGTGATTTTCGGGGTTTCTACAGGAGTCCACAAGATGACGAGGATAGCAGGTTCTGGATCTGGGAGGCAACAGGCGCGATGCAAGCATGGGGTGCGTGGAGCTGGCAGTTATGTTGCATTGCCTTACGTTTGATAGTGGTTTTTGTTGTTGATTATTAGTGGCAACTGAACTGGGCGATTTGCATCAAGGGCGTTCTCGCTGCAGACGAGACTGGAGCTTCACTGGCATCAGCGATTTGGTCTTTGGAGACGGGAATCCAAGACGTGTATATGATGGCACGAGTTAACCATAGAAATAGACGAGATGGTACCTCTCAAGGCGTGGGCAGTGTCAGGCACTGGCAGATTCACGGTGGTGGTGCGCTAGCCCCTGGCTCGGGTTGTGAGATTTGAGATTTAAGAACCTCTCTGTGCGTGCGTGATTCGCTGTGCTCTCTGATCGTGAGAGCTATATAATTCCCATCCTCCAAGGCTTCTGCCTTTCTCTCTTCCTTCTCCTCTTTACATTCTTTTCTGACCGGAGTCAGCAGTCTTCAACAACAACAACAATCTCTGAAGCCCCTTCAACAGGCTCTTTACCTTTACAAATAGCAGTCTGGAACTGAACCTTGACACTCAACAGGTAGGTTCTGGTTATTATTCCCCTTATTGTTCCCCTCTCTTATCCGTTTGCCGGTGACCCTTGGACCACAATCGGAGTGCGTTGGGTGGTTCATTGCAATGGCCGTTTCGTCCGGTCTTTTCTAGGAGCCGTTTGCTTTCTGCAATTGTCTAGTGAGGGGGTGTTCTTTTGTTTACTGCCCTTAACACTTTCTATTCTTCTGCTCAAACGCTTTCTCACATCTTTACTTCGGATTTCTAATATTTAAGTGCTCTCGTTAACAGACTTAGGCCTCATCTCACTGCTTCCTTCACCACAACGCCCAACTTGTCTTCCACATTCCATCGGCGGTTTATCTGCAAGCCCTTTGCTAAGACATACCGCTTCTTCTCATCTACGCTTTATCTTCAAACCTCTCGCCTCGAGCTTCGCCTCTTCTGTTTTCTTTCAAAGAATTAACACGATTCAACTGACACAATGTCTGACGCTGCTGTCAAGCCCAACGCCTGGACCGATGAAGCCAAGGTAAGTCCCGATCATATCCCCGATCTATCCTCAAGGAGTCTAACCAGTACAACAGAACGAGCTTCTTCTGCGTATCATCGCCCAGTTGAAGCCCGAGGGCAAGTCCATCAACTGGTCAGAGATTAACATGGAGGGACGCACCGTGAAGAGTCTCCAGAATCAATGGACTTTTTTCAACAAAAAGATCGAGGCTTTCAAGGCCCAGTCGAACGACGGAAGCTCTCCCTCAACCCCCGTCAAGAAGGCAACCCCTGGTAAGCCATATGCCCCCTTTCTAGTCGCGACATTCTAGTAGACTAATCAACTCCTTCTAGGTCGGAAGCGAGTCCCCAAGGCCAAGAAGGGCGGATCGGACGAGGAGGATGCCTACGAGACGCCCAAGGTGACCCCTCGTAAGCGTCGCGCTCCTAGTAAGTCGATGCTACCTAGCCCTCATATCAAGCCTTTTACTAACACTAGTAACAGAGACTCCCGACAGCGAGTCCAAGGCTGTCAAGAAGGAGCTCAGCGACGCCACCGTCAAGGATGAAGATATGGATGAGGATGACAATGTCACTGGAGAGATCTAGCCTCGTATATTTTCCCCATGATGTCGGGGAATGTCGTCGCCAAACTTTCAACAGACACAGGAAGAAGGGAATCTATACTATTGATGCCATCTGCTAGAAGTCAGATGAAAGGTGTTGGTGGACATCTAGCAAGAAGACAGAGCAGAAGAGGGACATGTATAGTCTACATGAGTGACTATGGAAGCTGGTATTCGTATTAGCTGATAAACATATACTGCCTCTGCAATATCTCTAGACTCTTTGATTGTGTGAGGATTGAGGAAGCCCCGTCTAGAAAGTCGCGATGTCTTTCCGACCACGACATCGACCTCTTAGTAGTACTGAAATAATGATAAATGTTGCAAGTATAAAGAAGTGTCTATTCGATGTAGTTGTCTAGATATTGCCTTTCTAGGTGAAGTTGATCGGGATTGGGCCGACTCTAGGTCGGTTTGTGGGGGTTGCTAGATCGCGATGGGGCCGGCATTTATAGAACCCGACAACCAAGAATCAGGCGAGATTCTACTAGCGATTGGCCATTCCCCAACAACCTTCAATTGATAGACTCAACTTTACTTTTATATATAAATCTGAAGTTTCCTCAATCGTCTCTTTGTTTAGTATCAATGTGATTGCTTGCTAGTACCTGAAGAATTGAGGAATTGACGATCATGGCTTCAACTACCGGTGTCGGAGACGAAGAAACGGCACCGTTACTAGCGACATCGCCGACTTCATCAACTGGCGTCATTCATTCTCAGTATCAATCACTAAGCCAAATCAACAGCAATAATCAAAGCGATACCAGTAATACCAGCAATACCGACCCCGAATGGACGCTCAGCCAAAGCGCGCAAAGGCTCTATATATCTCATACACTCTCAACATGGAACTCACGCGTCTTCGAATTCGGCAGCGTCTTATATCTGGCATCAATTTTCCCCGGAACCTTGATGCCCCTTGCGATATACTCGGTAGTGAGAGGTGCTTCTGCTATCACGTTGTCATCATGGGTCGGGAGTTATATCGATCGTAAAGACCGCCTTAAGACAGTGAGACTGTCAATCGGTAGGTCATTAGAAGCCTTCATGACAGATGACCCTAACCCGAGTAGTCTCACAGCGACTTGTTGTTGCTGCCTCATGCGCTATATTCTTCCTACTTAGCAGAGCCGAAAGCCCTTCAGATGAGCTGCGGGTCGGTTTGCTTGCAGCCTTGATCTTCATGGCATGCATTGAGAAACTGGCCGCTATCATGAATCTCGTGTCAGTGGAAAGAGACTGGGTTATTGTTGTGGCACGCTCAGATACTACTGCGCTTCGAAGTATGATTTCTCTCAAATATCATATGGATGTCACTAACACACACATACTTATAGCCATGAACTCGCAAATGAGGCGAATTGACCTTGTTTGTAAACTACTCGGACCTTTCTTCATAGGCATACTAGATGGTGTTTCCACGGAAACAGCAATTCTTGTCAACCTAGCAATGAACTGTGCTTCAGTTATTGTTGAGTATTTCACTATTGCCAAAGTAAGTCATACACAACTTACACAACCTCAACATGATCTTTAACTGCAACAGGTCTATTACCAAGTACCCGAACTGCAGCATCCAAAGACTACGCCCCCTATTGTACCACAAAATGAGGAACAGCAGGCTCGTCAGAATGCCTGGGTGTCATTCAAAAAGGCTATGCAGAAGACATCCAGTGATCTTCGACTTTACTTTACACATCCTGCATTTGCACCATCTTTCTCAATAGCGCTCCTTTACTGCACAGTTCTGTCTTTTGGTGGAGTTATGGTTACATATTTGTTAGCGAGTGGATACACTTCAGCTCAGATTGCCGCAATGAGAATAGTCTCGGTGACTCTTGAGGTTCTCGCCACATGGATTGGACCGTGGTTGATGAAGAGAATTGGACCTGTCCGCGCCGGTCTTTGGTTCCTCAGCTGGGAACTGGGGTGTTTAGCAATCGGTGTATCAATCTTCTGGCGATATGCTGACAACGTTTTGGTATCGACACTGGGACTTGTCTGTGGTTCGATGTTGAGCCGGATCGGACTTTGGGGGGTAGATCTGTCTGCACAGGTCATTATTCAAGAGGTAAGTTCTGTTGTGGGATGAGTTGAGGAACTTTTCTGACCATGCATTGCAGGAGGTTGAGGCAGAGAATAGAGGAGCCTTTTCTGCCGTGGAAGCTAGCTGGCAAAATGTGTTCGAGATGTGCTCATACACGTCAACCATCATTTTCTCGTCACCCAGTCAGTTCCACAACCCGACAGCACTGAGCGTCACAGCAGTGTTCTTTGCATGGCTACTGTACAGCTCCTTTGTCAAGAAGCGACGAGGACATCTCGTCCACTGGCCGACTTGCATGTCCCCGGAAAAGCAGCAGGCAACGATCGACGAGCTGTTCGAGTCTGGGCCGTCGAGGCGAAGAGAGGGGCTCTGAATGTTTGTATGATATGCATATGCAAGAGAGGATCGCACGAGACACGTTGGTGGTCACCTGGATCGGGAAGCAGTGCAACAATGATAGGATAGCACAGGATCTCTTGTGGGTTGGGAACCCTCCACGTTTATTTCCGTGTCTCGGACGGCAGCGGGTTGTCTTGGATATGCATGCATGGCAAGGCCTCGTGGATCGAGGAGTGACCCTTATAGATGATGCAGGTTTGGTTACATGAGGGAGGACAGCAGTGATTTTTGGATCGATGTGTATGACGTGAAGAGACTCGAGTAGGGGGAACTGTCTTTGGTTTCCCTGTTAGTCAACCAGTGCTCCAAATCGTGGATTCTCTCTCTTGTATACGATATTATCTCTGACTTTGGAGATGTATTGTAGGTCATGGTAAGCCCGTGTCTCATATAAATACGACCCTCACATACTTACAAGGTCAGGTGTCTTGGGCGATGTGTTGCATTATATAAGGATCTAGGACTCATAAGCTTGATATTGACAATCTAGGTGAGCAGAATAGGTACAAAAGTCTCAATCGCCCACCATCTCATCCCCCCATCTGACTGGTCATCTGTCGTCCCCCTCGTCTCTATGTGGCACACCATCTCGACTCGACCACACCCACAACCTCTTTGTCTTGTCGGGGCGGTTCACAGTGGGGACCGGGTCAGACCTTGAAGGGCACCCGAAGGCACCCT